GGTTTGCGTCATATTCTGAGTTGCATTATTTTTATTCATTTTGAGGAATACTGAATCTGTTTTTTTTATTTTTTTGTGAGTGAGATGAATTAATGCATATTCATATTTATTTTAGAACTACAGTAACATCTTCTGATTTCTCTCAACATGGGGACAGGAGAGCTGTCAGTCAATAAATTGGGGGAAAAAAAAGTAACTTGCGTTACTTATTTGAAAAAGTAACTCAGATATTCTCTTGTAAATTAAAAAGTAATGCGTTACTTTACTAGTTACTTTAAAAAAGTAATCTGATTACGTAACTTGCGCTACTTGTAATATATTACCCCCAACACTGGTTACTACACATTTTTGGCTGGTATTTTTTTAAATGGGTGGGTTTTACACTGTAGTTGGGCTGGAGCTCTTCAATCCAATCTGGCAACACTGTTCTTGTTAAACCGCAGTGAAGCTCAGATCTGCAGTCACGCACACGCCTGACATCCTGCTTTACATGATCACAAATCATCATCATCTCACTACTTTATGGGAGAAATGCTGCACATCTCATGTCTAAACGTACTGAAACACTCACAGTCTGACAGTCGCATACTACATACTACAGTACACACTGTTTGACTTTGACCCTTCGGCAAATCCGCATCAGCCTACAGACACAGACAGAAAAATGGCAGCCGAATATTTCGGATTACACAACACACACCCAAACCATCTGAAAACACACATCTTAATCCGCAAACATTTATAACATTCGACATTGTTTTGCTAACAAACATCTAAAGAACGTGCTTAACACGGAATCATGCGCAAAAAGTTACATTGTGTTACATTGTATCAAGCGCGCGTCACGCTGAAAACACCACAAACGCGCGAAACGCTCGATATATTGTCATTTTAACGCAGTAAGAAAGATTGTAAATGAAAAACTTACTGGGATGTGTGTGTGTGATGTGATGTGATGTGATGTGATGTGATGATTGGAGGTCGTAAGTATGGAGTAAAAATGAGGAAGTGGAGGGCGGCAGTGTGTCACGGTGGGTGTGACCCGATCCTGTCTTCTTCACATAATGAAACACATCCCTTCTTCTTCTTCTTCTTCTTCTTCTAATAACGTTTTATGGCGGATGGCAAACCAACTTCTGGTGCATTTACCGCCACCAACTGGACTGGAGTGTGGAGCACTAATAAATACATATTTATATTTATCTATATCTTATAAAAAAAAAAAATGAACGCACCACAACATATTCTAAGAGCTTGATTCTGTATAGGAAACACATCCCTGTCCTGCAGGATTGCTTTAGTAGTTACTGCTTTTAAGAAAAAAAAGAGAAAAAGATTGCTTGAATGATTCTAGGCTATTGTGGGGTTTTACCAGGGCGTTTTGCTACTTATTTACTAGTATTGTTTTTAATTTTAATTTCTAATAAGTAATCCAAAAGTTGCTACTTTTAGTCTGTAGCAGTCATATTTCACAGCTAACCAAAATATGTTCTAAGAACGTTTTGCATTAAGTTATTACGTTTAGGTATTAAGTTAAATAACGTCCAATTTTGTAAATGTAATTTTTTTTTTCTTTGTTAAACAGACGTTAAGGTAACATTCCATTTGATCATTTTGCAAGCGTTACGGGAACGTTACTTTTGAATGTTCTCTGAACGTTCTGAAACATGTAGCAACATTAGACACACTTCTAACCAAAACGTTTAGGAAAAAATTCCATGAATGATGTGTATGTTTCTGTGCTCACTTTTGAGAAGACTGTTACAGCCCAGATAACTTTAAACTAACGTTCTATTAATGTTAATGGAAGAATGTTTGTTCATAACTTTGAGAGAACCTTGCCAGAACGTTCCCTGTGAGCTGGGTTATGCCCTTGAATCAGCTTTCCAAATAGTGACAACTCTTTCAATCTGGAAAATATTTTGCTGAAAGCTATGGTTACCAGTTTTTGTAAGAATGCCAGACATCTGAAGGTATTATAGGCTAATATTTGTATACCTCATTCTTTCTGCAGAACTGTATTACATTTGGTTTTAATGAGTGCAAAAACTGGTTTGTGTGGCAGATCTATATCATATAAACCAACAGAGAAAATCCTCCTCGCATGACTAATACTGACCATGACATTGAATTTGAAAGAAGGTGGCGGTTGTCCAACATAAACAAACAAAAAAAAACATTTGCATGAAAACGACAGACGCTCCTCTTCTCTTCCAGCTGTGTCATGTGACTCACGTCTGTCCCAGCCTCTCATTCATTCAGAACAGCATGTATAGAAATAAAAGAGTCTTATGGGTTTGGCTTGAGTTTCTTCAGAAGCATGTGTGAACAGCAGTAGAAAAACTGGTCACGTTTACGTCAGGTGCGTCCTGACAGCTGCACATCATCACTTCCAGATTAAGGAAGGGAAACACCATTTCTAAGAATTTCAAAGGCTTACCCTGAGCTTTACAAAACCATAATAAACCACGGATTTCATTTTAAAACTCCTTTAATTCTTACAATATGAAATAATATTTCTGTTAATATGTAATGTAAATATGAAACAAGCTGTTTAGGGAAAGCACACACACACACAGACACACAGACACACAGACACACACACACACAGACACAGACACAGACACAGACACAGACACAGACACAGACACAGACACAGACACAGACACAGACACAGACACAGACACAGACACAGACACAGACACAGACACAGACACAGACACAACACACACACACAGACAGACAAAAGGAGTGTCACGCTTCACAAAGTTAAACTGCTTTGCATTAAACAGCCTGTAGTAGATTGACATGAACACCAGAGGGCAGAATCTGCATCCGGTCACATTGAGTCAGGGTTGGATTTTAAACTGATTTAATCAAATTAAGTCACAAAATGAGTTCCATAAGTCTGACACAACAATAAAACACACTGGGATTCAAAAGGTAATTTAAATATGAAAATAAACATGAAGCTTATTAAACTTTGAAAAATAAAATCGCAGTTATCAAAAATGTTGAAAAACAGTTGCAGTTGTACACAAGTGTAGTCAATTTGTGACTGATATACAATAAAATAATGTATTGCAAAGAAATATATTATGATTATTAAAAACATATATTTACCATGGTAGCCTACCTTTTTTGTAAGGAGACATCTGGATGTATTATAGCCTAGTAGCCTATATGTATAGCTTTTAGATAACTTTATTGCAATAGGTTTTAATGAGAGCAAAAACTGGTTTGTGTGTCTGATTTATATTTTATAAAAAACAGAGAAACTCCCCTTGTTCATTTTAAATTTATATTTAATTTGTGTTAAAATGAGTTATTATAAATATGTTATTTACTCTAGGATGTCTTGAGTTACACGCTTTACACAAAAACAATAGCCTAGAAAAGTTGAATTGTTACAAAATTGTTAATTTTAATAAATCATGAATGAAGGTTTTTTTTAATGATATCTCCGTGAAATGTAAAAAGGGTCTCAGATTATGAATATTAATTAGTGCTGACGCTCATCGGAATCCTCGAAATGGGGAAGTGCGTGTTTTTGAATATTAATTACATTATGATTACGTTTCTTGGTAACCTTCCAATGGCGACGCCACAGCTTATGAATATTCATGAGCCAACCTTTGAGCGCAGCAGGATTGGTAAAGTGCGGTGAGTATTGAACTTTCCTTCTCAGAGCAGCACGAGCTGGCCCGTCTTGTCATTGAGCAACAATGGGTTCAGTGTGAGCCGATAACAGTGCCACAGCCTGCTGGCACACATCAACAAACACCACCTTTTTATTCTGAGCTGGACTGATCCATAAGGAAGATGAGTCTTTTCAACTGGGTTTATCTGTCGCTGCAGGAGTCTGAGAGAAACGCTGAGCTTGATGGGAACTACAGCATCAAGCCAAAGGAGGATCTGGACTCACATCTCCACTCCAGCATCATCAGCAGCTTCACTCACGAGCGCACGGAGGTGATGACGTCACCACAGCCTCACTGATGCTGGCTGTCTGCTATCTATCTATCTAGTCAGGAGTTCAGGTGAACTTATCTAGGATCAGATGTAAACTCAGTGATTTGTAAACGTCAGTGTATTGTAAAAGTCATTTCTTTTTTGTTTATTGATAACTATGCATATACTGTAATAACATGGGTTAGGCCTACTGTAACCATAATCTGTGTGTATGTGTGTGTCTTGTACATATTACTGTAAGTAGTTGTAGTGCTAACTTTAATATAATTTTTAAATAGTTAAAAAATTGGCACTTTTTTATTCCATTTGTTTTTTTTTTAATGTTCATTTAATATTGTTTAATCGATAGTGTAAATGAGCCAGAATCTGTACTTTATATCTTCTATGCTGGAATTTCCAAGATCTGATTATGACTGAAATTGGATACAAATTCAAAATATATCTAAATAAATAAATTGGATAGATAGATAGATGCTTATTTTTCTCTGTGCGTGTTCTTGTACAGTGCCATGATGTTTCTATGAAGGCCACATGTTCAGACAGCTGCATGTGGTCTTGCTATAGTTAGTTATAGTTACTGTAGAGAGATTAACTCAGGTCAACCTGAACAGCTCATTTGCTCTTTACTAAGCTGTTTAGTTACAAATTACTCTACAAAATTACTAGCTTACTGTTAATTTGGGCTCATGATAATAATGCACAGTCCTTTCAGTAACAAAAACATACCATAGTATTAACATTTTAGACCACAGCATTGAAAGGGCGTATCATTCAACCACAATTCAACAAAGTTTGTTGCATGTATTTAAGAATGATCCATTACTTTGGTGGTTTAGAAATGGACCAGGCTGAATGGGAACGACTGAATGAAAAGCCACAGTATTTGCTGAAGAGATTTGAAGCTTTAGCGGTCTGGCTCCACATAAGCAATGTGGGAAAACATCCAAGTTTAGCATTTTTATTATAGGTGCATAAAAACTGAGATCTTTACTGAGATATGAGATATGATGAATGCATATCCCTGATGCATGTGAGAATTACACATGCACATAATGTTGCATACAATGCAAATATATGTTTAAATGTTTGTCACTGCATATTGCATGCTATTAACATGTTGTTTTTAGCATGCAGTACATACTGCTCAATATGTAAGCAGTTGGCTAATATTTCATTCCAAACAGCATGGACAATCTCATGAGACAGAATGAGGAAAAGGCTTCAGAGAATCATGTGGCAAAGTCTGTCTTCCCGAGGAAAACGGAACATTCTCTCTCACACAGATCATCTGCAGAAAGAAAATCAGACCACACAAAACAATTATAAACAATCAAAAACAGAAATGTATACACAAACGGAATCACTGGCAGTTTAAAGGAAGATTTTTGTGACAGATTTTTATCTGTCTGATACTGAGAGTAACATTTTAAAAGTTTATGCTTATGTTCTATGCTCTTATTTTTCTATCTAAACAAGCAAAACTTTACAGTGACTTTACAGCATACTGACACCTACTGGTTTGGAAAAAACACAGTAAATACTTAATAAAATTTACATACTAAGGGCATGTGAAATAATCTGAACTTTAAAAATATGAAAAGAAATTAAGAATATGAAATAATAAAAAATAAAACCATATTCAAGAAATTCTGTTTCTTGAAATAAAATAAACAGTTACTGAAATAAAATAAAATATGAAAATCAGACTTATTTTACTTCAGCTAGTTTCCAGAGAACATTACTCATTGTCGTTTAGTTTAACTTGAAGTACTAAAATGACAAAAATACACAACAAAATTGATACAATATTAAGATTAAAGTGAAAAAAGAAAATCTAAAAAGAAAATCTTATTCAAAATATTAACAAAAGCTATAACATTTAAAAAATGATACTAAAAACAGCACTGATTCAAGGTGTATTTGTTTGTCAGTTCATGCATTCCGTGGGAATCGAACCCATAACCTTATATTTCAAGTAGGATTTATATATGACAATGCTTATTATATTCTTAAAAATCTTATTCAGAATATTAACAAAAACTATAATATTAAATAAATAATACTAAAATAACACTGATTCAAGGTATACATTTTATCAGTTCATGCATTCCCTGGAACCCATGACATTGTAAACACATATTATATTTCATATAGATTTTAAATATGGTAATGCTTTTTATATTACATTGAATATTTCATAAAAGTTTCATGTGTTTTTTCTCTCTACAGACTCTGTGTAGCCATTTATATAAGGACTCGTCTCCCTACGGCTCGTTAAACAACATCGTCAAGGGCCTGAGTTTACTGACGGACAGCTTTTCTGACCTCTCTCTGACCTCTGAACCCAGAAAGCCCTGCAAGAAACCTCCGCCCAACTACCTGTGCCACCTGTGCTTCAATAAAGGCCACTACATCAAAGACTGTCCGCAGGTAAACACTCACTGCCTGTCAATCATAATGCACAGATATTCTTTTTATTAGACAGTTTTATTAAAACTGTAACAGTGAGACATTTTGTGGAGTTTACAGATTACTTTTTAAAAATTTAAAACAATAATATACAACTGAACTGATGCTCTGGTCACTGTTGGTTAAACCGCATTGCATCCACCAAGCAAAACACCTTAGCAACCACCCAGAACACACTCGCAAACACATAGCAACCATCCAGAACCTTCTAGCAACATCCTAGCAACCACCCAGAACAGCCTAGTAACCATCTAGCAACGACCCACAACAACTGCCTAGAAACCACACAAAACGCCCTAAGAACTGCATATCAACACCTTAGCAACCACCCAGAACACTCTCGCAATCACATAGCAACCATCCAGAACAGCCTAGTAACCACCTAGCAACGACCCACAACAACTGCCTAGAAACCACACAAAACACCCTAAGAAATGCATATCAACACCTTAGCAACCACCCAAGGCAACTGCATAGCAACACCCTAACAACCACCCAGGGTACCCTAGCAACCTCCTAGCAACCGCACAGAACACTCTAGCAATTGCATTGCAACACTCTAGCAACCACTCGGATTACCCTAGCAACTGCCTAGCAAGCACCCTGGCAACTGCATAGCAACACCCTAGCAGCCAGCCAGAGGACCCTAGGACCCAGTTCTGTGATACCAATGGTGTGATTATTTGACAGTCTTTTACTGTAACTGACCTGCATTACAAAATTCATTGCAACAAGCACCCCACCCGCATGAGGAGCCGTAATGAACGCCAGATGAAGCATTTGTGTTTATGAAAGATGATCCAATTTCTTGCCTTTCATGACATCATTGGCTGTCAGAGATGAGAAAAAGCCCCTCGACACCAAATCCAGCCAAACACAGATCAGTCAGCCGTGCGTCAGCTCCAGAAACGGAGGGGGAAAACCTTTTATAGAAAGATGAAGTGATTTAGATCTTTGCCCTCCACTAAATTTACTGTCACATCATTTTAATTAGTCTCAGGTGACATGAGAGAAAAGATGATAACAAGAGAAGGAACGTCCTAAGTACAGGGAAGGACGCTCTTCCGACGCAACACCCTAGCAACCACTCCGGGTAGCCTAGCAACCATATGGCAACATCCTAGCAACCACCCCAAGTACCCTGGCAACACCTTAGCAACCACCACAAGTACCCTAGCAACCGCATAACAACACCCTAGCAGCCGCCACCGGTACCCTAGCAACGGCATACCAACATCTTAGCAACCACCCAGAGTACCCTAGCAACCACAAAGCAACACCCTAGCAACTTGCCCTGACACCCTAGCAACTGCATAGTAAGACCCTAGAAGCCATCCTGGGTACCCTAGCAACCACATAGCAACACCATAGCAACCACCCGAGCACCCCTATCAACTGCATAGCAACACCCTAGCAACCACCCAGAACACCCTAGCAACCACCCTGTCATCTGCATAGCAACACCCTAGCAACCACCTAACAACCCCCCAGCATACCTTAGCAACACCCAGAATACCTTAGCAACTGCCTAGCAACACCCTAGCAACCATACAGGAAAACCACAGCTTCATTTAAGTTCCAAGGATTTCAGATTTTCCCATCCCTAAATGCTATTCTCTGGTTAATCTCTGCATGACAGCTGATGCTGCAGAACATCACAAATTTTACTGATGTAGCTAAACAACCATCCATAATAGCACATCTGCTCTGATTTTATATGCTATATATATGCATTATTAATATCAATAAAGAGTCACTATTACAGAATCCTCAGACCTACAGCTCTGATCTTCCACCATCTGTGTTCAGATGAGATCTGATGACATTTATGACACAAAACATCTCCGTATGTCGGTGTTCACCTCACACATCTCTGCTCCAGGAGTAGGTGGGAATTTTTCATCCAGACGTTTAGTTGTTTTTGTTTTGCCTGTCCACCTGTCAGCGTCCGTCTCACTGAAACCCAGCACTGAATCACAGCTGGACACGTCTGGCCGAGCTGCAGCAAAGACCTGAAGAATACAAGGCAACTCCTTATGACAGTTTTGCACAGTTCTTTGCCTGCTTTAATATTTAAACATGTAATATAATGTGGTGCGCATAAAATACAATCAGGACTTTGCAATGCAATGCAATACAATGCAATGCAGTGCAATAAACTAAACAAAAATGAAATAAAATGCATTTAATTCAGCTTTATTAAATGTAAACATCTGGGATGACCTGAGGGTGAGCACATTTTCAGCACATTTTCATTTTTGGGTGAACTGTTCCTTTAACAGTTTGTCACAGTGTTTTATTCAGTTAAACCACTCTGATAATGTAAAACATCATCTGTGTAGGAAAACCCACAGAACTCTGAATTTAAGCCAGAACACAGAGAATGTAAATCTGTCATGCTGTGGGACGGACAGGAATGACATGAGTAGGTGTTTGTTTGACAGAGACGTTACTGTACTACAGATACTGTCAGATGTCCAACACCATAAAAATATCATAACAGAAGTCCATACAATTTGTGCCTTAAGAAAATTTCTTAATAAATTAAAAAGATTTAATATAATGTCAGGGTTTGACCACTGTAGTACCTGCAGTGCAACTATAAAAACAGCAATGTTTAAGAGCATATAAAAAATATGTATAAAATATAACTCCATATATAATGCATGCACTCACACTTTGGCGTTCTTGTAAGGCTGGTTCACTGCCATCAGTGAGGTGTGTCGATTTAATTTATTGCATGTAGAGCAAATGTTGGCTGTGGAAATGCAGGTTTTTGGACATATTAAAGGTTTAAAAAGTGTTATTGAAGAACACAGCCAGAAAAAATGGATCTCACAATAACTGTAAATTCATAAAATGTGTTTAAAATTCTTTACCTGGAGGAATAATAATATTTCTCCTTCATTGCTAAAGCAATGTAATGGAGTTTATTGTAATGTTTTACTGAGGTATCAACTTTGTCTCAGATGTTTCTGTTAAAAATTCCTAAGGAGAAATAAGATTTATTTTAAAAGGTTAAAAATACAGAAGCGTTCAAAAGTTTGTGGTTGGTACAATTTTTTAATGTCTTCAAAAGAAGACTCATAGTGGCTGCATTTAATTGATCAAAAATACAATAAAAACAGTAATATTGTGAAAAAGTATTACAATGTAAAACAGCTGTTTTCTATGTGAGTATCTGTTAAAATGTAATTTATTTCTGTGATGCACAGCTGTATTTTCAGCATCATTACTCCAGTCTTCAGTGTCACATGATCTTCAGAAATCATTCTAATATGCTGATTTGCTGCTCAAGAAACATTTCTGATTATTATCAATGTTGAAAACAGTTGTGCTGCACAATATTTTTGTGGAAACATTTACTTCTTAAGAATTATTTGATGAACAGAAAGTTCAAAAGAACAGCATTTATTTGAAATAGAAATCTTTTGTAACATTATAAATGTCTTTAATTGCACTTTTGATCAATTTAATGCATCCTTGATGAATAAAAAATCCTACTTTTCTAAGTGTACTTTCTCTGAATTACTAGTCCTTGTGAGTGTAGCTCAGTAAAGTCTAAAACAGCATGTTCATGCTCCTCGGTGTCTTTAATGAGAGGCGTGGACTGGATTTGATGGGGTCTGAAAAGGGCTGTTGGGAAATCTTAAACTGACACTTAAACATATGGCTCTGAATTACAGGCACTGTGTCAGATTTCCATCAGGAGCCACTCCCAGAGTGCACTGCAACACATTTAAGATGCATTATGGGACATTTTAAGCTTGTGCAGAATGTGCCACACCTACTTACAAAAACATAGTATAAATTTTAAAATTTGCTTAGGAAAATAAGTGTTTGCTAATGCAAAACATAAATAATTATTTGCTATATAGTTATGCTGAGTGGTTTTTAAACATTTGCAATGACTTCTTTATTACCGGCATCAACTACAATGATTTTAGCATCTAAAATGAGTATGCTACACCACTAGTAATGATGGTCTAAACAAATGAAAACAATGACAGATTGCTTCTACTGTTAGAAAACGTTTTAGTGTTCTGATACATCAGTGCAGACGTCTCTGCTGCGCTGCTGCTATCATTGCAATATTTCCGTACTGAATTGCAACTGGTCTGTTTTATCCATATAGCTGCTTTAAAACAATCGCTGATTGTAAGATTTCTATAAAAGACATTAATGAATGCTTTTATTAATCACGGATGCATTAAATTTATCAAAAGTGGCAGTTGAGACATTTATAATGTTACAAAAGATTTCAAATAAATGCTGTTCTTTTGAACTTTCTATTCATCTGTGAATCCTGAAAAATAAAATGTATGACCGTTTCTACAGAAATATTGCACAGCACAACTGTTTTCAACACTGATAATAATCAGAAATGTTTCTCGAGCAGCAAATCAGCATATTAGAATGATTTCTGAAGATCATGTGACACTGAAGACTGCAGTAATGATGCTGAAAATTCAGCTTTGATCACAGGAATAAATTACAGTTTAACAGAGATTCACTTAGAAAACAGCTATTTTACATTGTGTACTTATTTATTTATATTGCAATATGACCAGGAACAAATAATAGATTCATGAGACCAAAGATTGCCTGTTAGATATACTCAAAACGGATGATATCTCATGATATCCTCATAGGAATAAATTACATTTTAACAGATATTCACATAGAAAACAGCTATTTTAAACTGTAATAATATTTCATAATTGTTCTGTATTTTTGATCAAATAAATCAAATTGATCAAATGTGTGTGTGTGTGTGTGTGGTGAGAGTGTGTGTGTGTGTGTGTGTGTGTGAGTGTTTGACTCACATTAACTCCTGCAGCTGGACTCGATGATGATGACGATGACGGCTCCTCCAAAGTATTCATCATATAGAGCAGGGTTACAGGGGCCCCTCAGCGAATAAACTCTGAGAGCCCATGATCTGTACTGTAAAAAAGCTATTTGATTCAATGCAATTTGATGCATCTTGAATTTTAGGTTCTGCTGTCTTACAAAAAGTCTTTAGTAACACTACTTTGTTTGCAACTTTTTTTTCTTGCAATCTCAAGTTTATATTTCGCAATTCTGAATTATATCTTGCAATTTTGACTTTTTTTCTTGCAGTTGTTTATATTTTGCAATTCAATTTTTCTCTGAATTCTGGATTTATATCTTGTAATTGACTTTTTTTCTGAGAAGTCTCTGTTTATATCTTGCAATTCTGAATTTTTTGTTTATGCCACGGTATAAAAAATGTACAGTATGTGTGACTTTTGGCTTTTCTGATCAGAATTGCAGGTTTATATTTTGACTTTTTTCTTGGAATGGCAAGAAAAAAAGTTGCAATTACTACTTTTTACTCAGTGGCGGAACTAAGCTTGCATAGTTCACTTGAAAAGGAAAATTCTCTCGGCATTTGCTCTCCATTGTGTCGCTTTCTCTTGTAATAAAACAAATGGAAATGTTTAATAGAATAACCGTTTTTAATTCGCAGTAGTAGATCAGGGTCAGTTTTTAATATGCCGTATGAATCACAGGTGTTCGGACATCCTACAAATCAAGCTACATTTTTTTTCTTTTTTGGAAAGTATACTTTTATTCAGCGAGGATGCATTAAATTGATCAAAAGTGACAGTAAAGACATTTATAATGATACAAAAGATTTCTATTTGAAATAAATGCTGTTCTTTTGAAATTTCTATTCACATGGTGGTCGTCTTTTCATATAAACACATTTTTTGGTGTGTATGTATTATGGGTTTATGTGTTTGAGTTAGGTTGAGTATAGGGTTAATTATAAATCTGGTGGGTCGGTGGGTCCCTCCCTCAAATTTATCATGTCCTTTGCCTCCTTAGTTTTGGGGAGATGGTTACATTATTGTTAACCAAAACTAAATCTAAAACCATTTAAAAAGAAAATGTCATTACCTGAAATAAAATAAATATTAACTGAAATAAAATTTAAAAAATATAAAATATAAAAAATTAATTAATAAATTAAGCCAAGGATGCATTTCAAAGATGAAGTATTAAAATACTAAACTACATAAAACTAAACTGTAATAAAAGCTAGACATTAAAAACAAAGTATGAAAAATGACAAAAAAAAATACAAAAACTTTAAAGTTAAATTGAAAACATAAAATATGACAAAAAGTATATCCAAAATAAATAACAAATTGCACTGCACTGCTTTCATATATAGTAAATTTCACAATCACCCGTTCACAATTAAACTGATTGGTTGTTTCTCAAGAGTTGTTGTGAAGCAGCAGTGAAGGTGAATGAAGTGAGCAGGTGCTTTCTATGAGTGACGTGAGAGGATCAGATGTGTCTGATTAAAGCAGAGCAATGCCAATAATCATAATCATAATCATACCCACACAGGCCCGAACCCGTCCAACTCCGAGTGGCAAATCAGAGCTCTGGACAAGACCGGGTCTGGAACGATTAGAGATGCATCATGAATGATTTCAGGATTCTCAGTGATCCTGAGCCAATCGCAGACACACTCATCCTGACTAAACACCCCTAATAACCGCGGTAAAGACCTCCGGCAAACAGCTTACTTTCGATTAAGAAGCTTCATCCAAACAGATCTGTGAAGTAAATCTGAAACAGACCTGAAAGAGAGAAAGACAGTTTGCACTGATATCCACTGCAGCACGGACAATGTTACATTTCGAATCCCATTACACAGTTCAGAATGTTACATTAAACATTCCAATGCGACAAAACTGTAACAATGTACCAGTGCAACATCACTGACGGAAAACATCATTAAATGAAACATCAAACCAAAAACCTCACACATCTGACAAGATATTGTGAAATATTTATAACAATTTAGGAATAGCTGTTTTCTATGTGAATATCTGTTAAACTGTAATGTATTTCTGTGATGCGCAGCTGAATTTTCAGCATCATTACTCCAGTCTTCAGTGTCACATGATCTTCAGAAATTATTCTAATATGCTGATTTGCTGCTCGAGAAACATTTCTGATTATTATCAATGTTGAAAACACTTAATATTTTTGTGAAAATGTGATGCATTTGATTTTTCAGGATTCACAGATGAATAGAAAAGTTCAAAAGAACAGCATTTATTTGAAACAGAAATCTTTTGTAACATTAGAAATGTTATTACTGTCACTTTTAATCAGTTTAATGCATCCTTACTGAATTAAAGTATTATTAAAAAAATGAATAAATCTTGTTGACCCCAATCTTTTGAATGTTAGTGTTTACTTGTCTGATTTTTGCATCTGTTTGTATGACTCTCATCTACTGATGATCTAACAGTGGTTTTCTGGGCAGGCTCGTCCTAAAGGAGAGGGTCTGACGCCGTATCAGGGGAAGAAGAGGTGGTTCGGCGAGTACAAGTGTCCCAAATGCAAGAGGAAGTGGATGAGTGGAAACTCTTGGGCCAACATGGGTCAGGAGTGCATCAAATGCCACATCAACGTCTATCCTCACAAACAGGTGAACAGATGCTAGAAAACAGCCCACGTTATAGATCTGCTTTTCACATCCTTACAAACGGTCTTATTTTAGTAGTATTGATATACTGTTATAGTTTCTGATCATATTTTAAATGAGATTTTTGTTTTCACTTTAAGTTTAGATCATGTTTTACTAATATTGTTTAGTGTCATTTTTATTTATTTTGTTTGAAGTACAAAAATATTTTTGGTTTTATTTTGACTTAACTATAACAACCCTGGCTTAAAACAAGATACTTTAGCAAAATGACATGAGATTTAACAACTGAATTATTGTTTACCCCATTGGCAAATGATTTAACGTGTAAATCTAACAAAACGGTTCTGCTTAAAACAGGAAAAAAAACAATTGATCAGTTTAATGCAATTGAATGTTTCTTGCTTTAAGGATATTTTTACCGGGAAACAAGACAAAGATACTGATTTGTGAGCTTTGTTTTTGTCTCGTCTAAATAAACCCAAGCGCAACCCAAGGGCCTCTGGGTGAATGTTTGGATCCTTTCTGCTCGCTTTACTGAAGCGTCTGTACAAAACGAGCTGGGAAGCGTTAAAGCTGGAGAGCATGTGTTAGTTATTAACTCCAGCAAGAGAAGGAGACAGTTCTTCACTGGTAGAACTGCAAGCTGAAGCTGGTAGAAAACACTCGATGAAGCTCTCTTCAATGCTTCGGACTTCTCTTTTTCCTTGAACGTTCACCACATGTTCTTCTGTATTGTCATTTGTTCTTTTGGCTGCTTTTTGACCTGATAGACTCTGTCCTGTGATTGTCAGCGTCCTCTGGAGAAACCCGACGGTCTGGACGTATCGGACCAGAGCAAAGAACATCCTCAGCATCTGTGTGAGAAGTGTAAGGTGCTCGGATACTACTGCCGTCGCGTTCAGTGACCTCTGACCCCCGAAGACCCCCGTCACGCCAGCATCGCAGTGTTCACCGATTCCTCACCGACTGTGCTGCGGGTAAATATGAGTATGCAGGTTGAAAATGACTTTTTGAATAATACAATAAGTGGTTGTTAATGTAAACAGCGCACCATAATTAAAACTCACGTTCACAGGAGACCCACCTTGATTAATTTAGTTCAGTGCATGACTGTGTAAACAAAAAAATAATAATTATCTCCGTTATTTTGAAATGATTCTCTGTGGTAATCAACATTAGGCCACAACTCACTGCTGATATTTTATGAAACCTTTAAATATAAAAAAATTCATTTAAATCGACCCTCAATTTAGCAGCTTTTAATGCACCGTTCAGACTGATATATATGTACTTAATGGTGCAAGTACTGGATATTTGATATCAGGTTAGTTGCTGTGAATTCACATGATGTGAAAACGTGAAATATTCTTCTAAAGCATTTAATAAAACACATTTCAGGGCAATAGTTTACAGGCAGGGCATCAATGTCAAATGAATTTGATGTAAAGTCTGGACTAATGTCAGTGGCTCATTGCTGTTCTTTAGAAGCCGTTTAACTCCTTTTCAAAATAAAGACTGGATATTTACACAATAATGAGATGAAATGATATTCAAAGATCTGATGTTAATCACTGAGTGCGAGATCGACACAACAATCAAACACTTACTGATGTTTGTGCTGCTGAGTTCCCTCCAAAACGATGTCACTTCCTGTAGGGTGATGTCATCAAGGAAATGGAATTTGTGATTTTACCAAAGACTAACAGGATGGAAAGTGATACCGAGGAACTATAAATTGACATGAATTAAAATAATGTTGTCGTCATTAAAATATTTTGATAATTTCTGAATTTCTACAATTTTTTTTTTTTTTAAGATTTAATATTCACCCCATATTAGCTTCATTGAGAAATTGTGCTCAGTGAAAACTGTTATGATTTGCATTTTTAAATAGTGATTTTCCAGCATATATGATGGTCACGAGAACAGAACAGGAATGACCTGATCAGCCTTCTGCATATTAAATGCATTAATATCTCCAATTCTCATTTTGATGCTGTATACGCTACATGGTTTGTCAGTGTAATTGCTCAAAAGGCTTTTCAAATAATTCTGACAATAGGATGCCCTTATGAAAATTTTGATAGCTCTTATTTTCTACATTTTGCATATTGTGTGATTTTATGACGCATCACTAAAGTGCCTGTTCATCACAAAGATGTTTGTGTATTTGGGTACAAATATGAACAATAATAGTGACAGCAATAGAGATCAGAACATTAACAGTAGGTTTACTCTGAGGTACGTATACAATGTGATGTTTGTTTATTCTGAATGAAGTCTGTGCCTGTGATTCTGAAAAATGCTTTATAATATCTCATATTCAGTGGCCTCTGAAAGATGCAAAAAAAACACTGCCTGGTCTGAATGGATAAAACAATCAAATGTTGAAAATGAAGACCAAAAGCATTATTTTTTGGTGTTTTTAAATATCTCTGGATGACTGTGCGTGTGCATGTGTGTTGTGTTCGCTTATAATTTTCAATTTTCAAATGCAAAACCAATTTGTAAGACTGAAGTGCATTTGGTTTTAAACCGGCTTCAAACACAAACTTGAGAAATGTGAACGCAGATTCAGTTGATCTAACTGCTTCAAGATCTTTTTCTTAAAGCACTCGATGTACATGAGGGACAGCAACTCAGACTGTGAACCAGAAACGTGCCTCATACGCTCTCACGGCTCTTTCTCAAGAGCAGATCAATCTGTAAATACAAATAAACCAATAAAACATCATGCTCTCGGCTTTATTGATCAAACTCGTAATTCATGCATGAGAACTCAATGAACATGAGTCTCAATCTAGATTAAACACTATTATTACCTGAGAATGATGTTAAAAATTACATTTATTCACAGTGGATGTTACTGTAAAGGAATATTGCATGTAAAAACGATCGTTATGACAATATTTACGCATCCTCTTATCATTTCAAACCCATAGATTGTGTTATTTTTCCTTGGAATACAAAATCTGTTTTTCTGCACAAAAACATTTAATAGTGACCGCAGCTTTAAAATTGCATGACTTTTGAAAACTATAATATAAGAGCTTTTATGCTGTTTTTCTGCCTTTTGGGTCACTGTGAATTGTTGCTATATGGAAAAGAACATCTTGCACCTTTTGTGTTGCATGGGAATTTTTAACATCGCACAGCTTTGCAGACTCGAGAGCGAGTAAATAAAGGTTATTCCTTTAACCCGAAAGTGTCTGAGTTTCACATTATGGAGCTGGAGGCTCTTCTGAACATGGAGTAGTCTGAATGAATCAGCAGCAGGACAGTAGAAACGACTGCTGATTACTGGAGCTCTCCGCAGTCGGTGACGCTGATTCTCTTGGCGGTTCTTCCCGAGCGAGAGCCGAGCTCCTCCACCTTCCTCACCACATCCATCCCGTCTTTAACGCTGCCGAACACCACGTGCCGCCCATCCAGCCTGGAAAACACACCACACACACACTCGCATCATCACATTCACAGGAAATGACAGCGGATTCATGAAGACGATTATCGTACCACTCTGTTTTGACGGTGCATATGAAGAACTGGGATCCGTTGGTGTTGGGTCCAGCGTTAGCCATGGACAGGATACCTGAACACACAAAGAAAACATTAGGAGTAACTGTATGGGTCATAACTAGTTCTCAACGGTGTTTAAATGGCTGATGCTGATTTAAACGCATATTTGTGAGTCATCATCATTTGTAAGTCGCTTTGGATAAAAGCGTCTGCTAAATGACTAAATGTAAATTTGCATACAAACACATTATTACATATATTATACAATATTTACATCACAAAAAAGATCCTAATAATTAAAGTATTTTTATTATAATAATTATAAAAATTAAAACAATTATAAACTAATGCTTTAAAATAAGAAAGCAGTGTCATTTTAGTATTATTTATATACTATTACTGTATATTATTAAGAACGAAACTGTTGTTTAATAATATATTAATATTTATACAACTAGGTTATATATATAAAAAATGTTTTCCTCTCAGCTCAGGTTTTAGTCATTTTGTTGTACTTGGAAATATTTAAAATAAAAATGACATTTAGCTTTATTTTAACTTCGGTTTAAGTTTGAGTAATTTTGTTGTGCTTTTGTCATTGTTTAAAATATTTCTATTTTGCTTTATTTTTATTTCAGTTTTAATATTAATGTAACTAGCTTTTATTTTTATATTTTTCTGTTTATGTTTTTATTTCAGTTTTAGTAATTTTGCTGTGCTCCTGTCATTTTTATTATTATTTTTTTATATTTCTATTTAGCTTCTTTAAATTAAAGTATTATACATTATAAATTATTTTATTTGATACGTTTTCAGTTTAAGTTTTAGCAATTTTAGAACTTTTCAGTTAGTTGCTAAACCAACATTTCTAATTTAGTCTCCGTTTTCATCTAATATTTTAGATTTTTTATTTCAATTAATAAAAGCACTTGTAATTGTTTTAGTTAACAGTAGCACTAGTTGGCTTTTAACAGCTCTTATAGCGCTATCTAGAGGAGTCGACACGTTCCTACAGAAACCCTGAATGATCTTTGTACAGTGAACTTAACGATGAACAAACTCACTGACGTTTACCAAGTCAAGAACACATGAAAACATTCATAGACTAAAGAATGAAAGTCACAGCATCTGATGAACCAAGCAAACACATTTAAGAGAGTTTTACCTGGGCCAGTGTGTTTCAGTCTGAAGCTCTCATCTGGAAATCTCGGACCATAGATGGACTTTCCTCCAGTTCCGTTGTGATTTGTAAAATCTCCTCCCTAAGACAAACACAAAGTAGTGTAAAGAAGAGCAAACACATGAAAAGCACAAATGTTTTTTCACTCAATCACATGCGAGGCTTAACATTTGCAGTATGAAACAATTTGTCATCAAATGTGAAATTAGTCATGCAGAGTTAATGCGGTTCTTCTGTAAAGACAGGAAGAGCAACACTGTTTCATTCACACAGATCATTAAAGGGATTTTGCATTAACATTAACACAAAGCAACTGGTTACATTTGCTCAGGATTCACCATTTCAAAGCACATTTTAGCTTGTTTGCAATTTTAAAAAAAGTACAAATATACAGTCTATCAATTAGGCCGAAACATGCATGTTGTAAAATGCTGGGAAAAAGCATTGAAATGGTAGCATAAGATGCTACACTGCTGTAATTGTTTGAAATGTCATTTAATGTCACATTAAATATAACACCGGATATGCAGGTGAGTAACTGTCTGGATTTGAACTTAAAGGGATAGTTCACCCAAAAATGAAAATGTGTTGTTTATCTGCTTACCTCCGGGGCATCCGAGATGTAGGTGACTTTGTTTCTTCAGTAGAACACGTATGATGATTTTTAACTCCAGCCGTTGCAGTCTATCAGTCGTATAATGCATGGCAATGGTAACAAAATCTATGAGTAAAAAAAAACATGCACAGACAAATCCAAATTAAACCCTGCGGCTCGTGACGACACACTGATGTCCTAAGACACGAAACGATCGGTTTGTGCAAGAAACCGAACAGTATTTATATCATATTTTACCTCTAACACAGCACTATGTCCAACTGTCTTTGGGCGCGCGCAGGCATCCGGTGCGTGAGGTGTGTACGCGCTCTGGCGTAGTTTACGTTAATGTGTGTGTTGATATCCAGCCGAAGAGCAATCAACCATAACTTCAGGCGAGCAGGCTCAGAAGTTGGGAATACGTGGAAAGTCACCACTCCCGAATGAGTTCTCATTTTTGGGTGAACTATCCCTTTAATAAGCATCATTCATTCCTATGGTCTGATGCGTTTCTGTGGACAGAGCTTCAATCTAAAGCATAATGAAGCTCATGCAGGCGTGTGTGATCTAGATCTGGATCTGGTCACCTGACACATGAACTGTGGGATCACTCTGTGGAAGATCGAGCCCTTGTATCCGAATCCATGCTCACCGGTGCACAGAGCTCGGAAGTTCTCTAGAAAACACACAGAAGATCACAATGACACCTGTGCCAGAGGAACACTGACTTTTACTTTCATTTTTCTTTTTAAGGCACATTCAAAACAACTCCTGGTTGACCCAGAGCACTCTACAACACACACATACTCCAGCAGAACAGAGAAAACAACACAATGTAACGAATATAAAATGTTTTCAAGTACTTTACCTGCTGTTTTGGGCACAACAGCCGCATTCAGCTACAGTTCAGGAAGAGAGTTAAAGGTCAATGAATGAGAAACACTTTTAAAATATTGTAAAATAATCACATTGCGAAATAAATACGCATAGAAGCTGCTGCTACATTTGCTTGAACATCTAATTTAACTTTTTTTTTGTTTAGAAACATGTTACGCGCTAAACTATTATAAAGTAAAGTATTTTGGATCATTGTTAACGGATTGTAAATATTCCACCTTGGCGAAGGCTGAGCTTATGAATATTAATTAGTTCAAGGTGCCGTTACTTTATAAACGTCGTGGAGCGTCCAGTCACGCAATCTAATTAATATTCATAACCCCTCCTCGTATTCGTTGATTCGCCAACATCTAATTTAACTTTTTTTTTTTTAGAAACGTTACGCGCTAAACTATTATAAAGTAAAGTATTTTGGATAATTGTTAACGGATTGTAAATATTCCACCTTGGCGAAGGCTGAGCTTATGAATATTAATTAGTTCAAGGTGCCGTTACTTTATAAACGTCGTGGAGCGTCCAGTCACGCAATCTAATTAATATTCATAACCCCTCCTCGTATTCGTTGATTCGCCAACTGTCAAGCGTCCAGCGTTCTTTCAGCCAATCAGACAGACTAACTCGACGAACGTCGCGGTGCGTCATTAATATTCATAAGCCGAGCCGTCCTCATAGTAGAGTTCGTAACTTCTCTCACACTCACTTCGAAGGTGACTCTGCCGAGCGGTTCGTTATCCGCCGCGATGTCGAAGAACACCACCGGGTTGTTGTTGGCTTGAGCTCCGGTGGCGTACATGCGCGCGGCGGTGAACGCCAGCGAACACAACTTAAACCTGTTGCTGATGAATAACATGCTGATTCCGGTTACCGACGCCGCTGAGTTACTGACGCACAGGAAGTGCTGAAGCGTCACACGGAAGCGTTTAGGAGCGCGAGCGCGTGTGTCAGTCACGTTGATTCGTAAACATAAATAATAAATAAATACATGTTAATAAATAGATTAAAATAATAGAATTAAATTTTTTTTTTTTTTTAGAATAAATAGATTATAAACATAAGAACACATAAAACAAAAGTACAATTAATTTTTTTGATAATTCAATACAATTATTCAATTTTATTAAAATGTGTAAAATATAAAATATAAATAATATATGTAAAATAAAAGTAAAAAATATGTCTTAAATTGTAGCTATTTATATAAATATAAAAAAAAAACAAATAAAGATAATTCAATAAAATTATTCAAATTTTATTAAAATGTGTAAAATATAAAATATAATGAATATATGTAAAATAAAAGTAAAACATATGTCTTAAATTGTAGTTATTTATATAAATAATAAAAAAAAAACAAATAAAAAAATCTAGAAATTTATATAAGTTTATGACTACTGGAATAAAATAAACCCTCAGACGCATTAATTATTAAATTAAAAATACACATAAATTATATGTTTATGTAACCTACTATTATTACTGTTAGTAACCTGATTTTAAAAATAAAAGTACAATGTTAAATATAAAAATATAATAAGTATATAAACATAAATAAATACATGTTAATTCATATAAAACAATTATAAACATATAAGACATAAATGATTTAACATATATAAAACATATAAAAGCATAAAAGCAAAAGTATTGTGACTTAAAAATGATTAAATTTAATTAAAATAAAAAATACTTCATAAAATGTAGCTATTTAAATAAATATCAAAAACATCAAGTATATAAACATAAATAATAAATAAATACATGTTAATTCATATAAAACAATTATAAACATATAAGACATAAATTATTTAACATATATAAAACATATAAAAGCATAAAAGCAAAAGTATTGTGACTTAAAAATGATTCAATTTAATTAAAATAAAAAATACTTCATAAAATGTAGCTATTTAAATAAATATCAAAAACATCAATAAAAAATATATTTATATAAGTTTATGACAAAAAAAAATCAAATAAACCCTCGGACGCATGAATTATTAGCTAAATAAAAATGCATAAATTATGTTTATATAACCTAATATTATTAGGCCTACTATTATCAAATAAACCCTCGGACGCATGAATTATTAGCTAAATAAAAACGCATAAATTATGTTTATATAACCTAATATTATTAGGCCTACTATTAGTAACATGATTTTAAAAATAAAAGTACAATGTTAAATATGAAAATATACTAAAATAATCAAAATATAATAAATATATAAAATGTGTTTTTTTATTTATTTGAGCTTTATCATCAGCAAAGTTTATGTTGTCATTAATGCACAATGATATATAGAGACATATAGTTATAAGTTTAATCTCTTTTTTAAAACAGACTTCAGTCATGGCAAAAATTAGTAAATGATTATCCACCGAAAGCAGTTCATGAACTCATGGAATCAATCATTCAGCTTAATAACAATAAATATCGGAGTTTATTGAGGTTTGGTCTGTTGAGGACGTTTGTATGAGCTGCTGATCAATTCATGAAACCACATACAGATCTGCAGGAATCAGCAAAGAATCACAATCAGATGCTTTATTTCTGCTTCATGCCGTGTGAAAATGACAGCCGTGATCTCCAGAGATAAACATAAACATGGCGACACACAGAAAAATCATTTATTGTGTGCGTGAGATGCGTCTTAGAGCTGTCAGGACATCAGATGTGGAGATGCAGCCTCAATGATTTCACAGATAAAAGTCTTTTAGAATCAGATATTAAAATCATCCGTCTCTTTCATAAAAAAGGGAAGACTCAAAAATTCTTTGCATGTTTATAACTGTTTGCCACGCGATGTAACCATCAGAACAAGCATTAAAGCATAAGAACAATAAAAAATAATTTACCAAAACAAAACAGAGCAAAAAATAATATTAAAAGCCCTTTCTACAAATAAACAAGCCTGTATAGATTTATTTCACATAAGGCTGTCATATTTACTTGTACATATTAACAATATTTCTCATATTAACATGAAAGTCTGTATACCAATAAAATATCCTTAACTGAGCCTCCGACAGCTTTACATATTATTGGTTTCTTAAATGGAAGTGTATTTTTTTTGCATTTTATGTATCACTCTGTCTGGATGTGAAACGCATGATGAGTAACACAGCCTGCGCTCACAATTACATACCATTTATATATATATATATGTATGTGTGTGTGTGTGTGTGTGTGTGTGTGTGTGTGTGTCTGTGACAATCTAGTGTAATTTCCACTCACTACTGTCATAATTATGAGGTGAAAATTGGTCGAAATTACTTTCAAAGTTGTAATTATGGCATACTCAGTCAAAATGAGGACATAAAAAGTCAAAATTATGAGATTAAAAAAATCAAAATTATAATAGTCAGTTTTTTGCCTTTTTATCTCATAATTTCAAGCTTTTGTCAATTTCGACGTAGTCTCATTATTTTATATTTTTGTCATATTTTCACTCATAATTATGACAGTAGTGAGTGGAAATTACATATTTCAACTTACTGTCATAATTTCGACTTGGCTTACAATATGTCAGAAAATAGTGTGTCAGTTTTAACTTATCTCATAATTAGGACTTTGTCATAATTTCAATTTAGTATGCCATAATTCTGACTTTTTATCTCATAATTTTGACTAATGCCATAATTTCAACTTAGTATGTCATAATTATGACTTTTTATCTTATATCTTTATCTTTTATCGTCCTAATTTCAACATTTTATCTCATAATTATGACTTATGAGATCAGAAGTCATAGATGAATTATGAGATGAAATGTCACAATTATGACTAAGTCAGAATTATGAGATAATTTTGACTTTTTAAGACTCAGGTCATAATTTTTACCTTTCATCTCATAATTGACATATTTCATAGTTGTAACTAGTTGAAGTATGTAATAATTTTGACTTTTTATCTCATAATTTTGACTAATGCCATAATTTCAACTTTATTTCAATTATTTCATAACTTTACTTCAATTATGTCATAACGACTTTTTTATCTTATAATTATGACTTTAGTCAGAATTATGAGATAATTTTGACTTTTTATGACTCGGGTCATAATTTTGATTTTTTTTATCTCATAATTGAATTATGTCATAGTTTTAACTTAGTATGTCATAATTTCAACTTTTTATCTCATAATTATAACTTAGTCATAATTTCAATTTACGACGTCATAATTTAAATTTATCATAATTATGTCAATAATTTTGACTTTTTAAGACTCAGGCCATCATTTTTACTTTTTATCTCATAATTGACATATTTCATAGTTTTATCTAGTTGAAGTATGTAATAATTTTGACTTTTTATCTCATAATTCTGATGTGTCATTATTTGAACTTTTATCTCATAATTCTGATTTAGTCATAATTTTGACATTTCATTTCATAATTCTGACTTACCAAAGCATGATTTTGTTCATATATGGCAGAAATGGGCTTACTTGGTGAGCAGAAGAGAATGTCTTCTTTCAAAAACATTAAGAAACCTTACAGACCCCAAACTTTTGAACGCTAATATAAATATATTTCAATGCAAATATATGAAATAGTACGCAGTATAGTTCAGTATAGCATTGCATTCTGAACGCAGCCCATGTTTTCACACATGGACAGAAGAAACATGGATGGCCAATCAAAACAAATGTATTCACAAATATTTACATGAACTTCTCAAAAATAATACAACTGCATTATGAACAGAAGTGAACTAGATGGATAATTGCATGGTGTGAGTTTGATTTCCGTTTTTTCCCTTTACGCTTCCAAACAACATGATTTATTTTGAATAAGAGCTGTGCTTCGATTGTTTGTCTGGTTCTTCCTATCAAAATCAAAATAAAAAAGACTGAATTTAGCTGCAAAGTTCATTGCAGCTCCACATTTCTCACATTCATTTGCTGACAAAGATTTTAAAAACATTGAGCGACAATCAGTCGTTCTGGCAGATAAAAATAAGGAATCTGGAGGCAGAGATAATGCTACTGTCGGCATCCGTTCGTCTGTCAACGCTGGTTTTGAAATCTGTAGTCTGTACAGGAAGAGGAAGTGACGGTAAGTGCATTTGTGTTTGTCAAGTATGGAGCAGCTGCTAGTCGAGGGTCTGAGGTCTCAGTTATTCTCAAAGAGAGACAGCAGGTCGTCGTTGCTGCTGCTGGGAAGATCTGGAGGATCCAGATACGACAGAAGATCGTCTGGATTCATCAGGTCCGGCAGCAGCTGCAGGAGGAAAACAAGCTTTTCTCAGCTCACAAACACACCAAACACTTAGCAATCTTTTCTGCTGTAGATATAATAATATATATAAACACACAACATTAGTTTGGTTTGTTTTTGTTGGTATTTGTAAGGTACAATATACAAACATGAAATAAATAAACAAAACAAAAAAATAAAAATGGAATGTAAAATTAGTATTTATACAAAACGGTGTACATTACTGTTGTTATTATTATTACTACTGTTACTATTGTTGTTATTGTTTTTTTGTTTGTTTCTGTTATTTGTAAAGCAGAATATACAAAGATGAAATAAATAAACAAACAAAACATTTTTTTATGTCAAATTTGTATTTATACAAAATAGTGTACATTACTGTTGTTATTATTATTACTACTGTTACTATTATTGTTATATGTTTTTGTTATTATTGTTTTTTATTTTATTTTGATTGTTTCTGTTATTTGTAAGGCAGAATATACAAATGTAAAGAAAAAGAAATCATAAAAACAATAAAAAAAATTCTTAAAACAAGCACAATAAAAACTACAATAAAAGTGTAATGATTTAAATAAATAAACAAAAAGGAAATATATAAACAATATAAATATATAAATATAATATATATATAAATATATAAATATTTTCTAACAATATAAATCTTTGCTATCACTTCTTATCAATTTCACACATATAAACAATATAAATATATAAATATAATATATATATATAAATATATAAAAAATGTAATGTAAAATTAGTATTTATACAATACAATGAACATGAATTATTATTATTATTTTGTTATATATTTTAGTTATTATTGTTATTATTATTTGTTGGTTTTTGTTGTTAATTGTAAAGCAGAATATACAAATATACAAAAGCTATAATAAAGATAATAACTAATATAATATCAATATAAAATATCAATATCAAAAAAGCATAAAAAATATCATTTAAACAAAAAATTTAAATGTACAGTGAAAATAGTATTTATACAAAATCATGTACATTTAAAATATACATTGATTGATGAATATTTATAAATTATGGATGTGCAACATATTAGTATTGGCTGATATCAATGATTTTTTAATTATCGTATTATTTGATCAGAAATATCTCTTTTTTTCCCATTAAAACAGGTTATAAACATATGAATGTTAATGAAATCAAGATCAAAAGTGTCTGGAGTCAGTCTGAACTCACATCTAAGGAGGCCTCGCGCATGTCTGCGCTGCTCGGACCTCCACACTGACCCTCCAGGTTGGCCGAGGGGTTAAAGGTCATCTCTGGGTGCATGTGGCCGCGGGGGGCGGAGCTCTGCTGGCTGGGCGGCGGCCTGCAGGCATGGGGCGGGCCGCTGTGATGTAACGGCTGCATACTGTGCTGCAGAGGATTGTGGGATTGGTCTGTGTTGAGGGGGTGAGGCGTCTGTGACAGAAAACAGAAAATACGCATGAACTGACATTAAGGATACTCAACATTGCTATCATCTGATATAAACCTTTTTTTTAATTATTGCATCATATGATTAAGAAGAAATTCCAGGTTTTTTTCTAATTAAGTCGGTAACAAAACAAAAATGGAAATAAATAAAAAAATAAATAAAAATGTACTGTAAAAATATTATTTATACAAAACAATTGAGTAAAGAGTAAATTGAAAGATTTATAAATTAAGGATGCACAACATATCGGCATTGGCTGATATCAATGTTTTATGTATCATGTTTTATCATATCATCTGATTAAAAAGAAATATCTTTTTTTTCTACAGAAATTCAAACAATTTCTCTCAGGTTACAGATATACAAAACAGTTATCAATATTTTGTGCTTTGCATATAATAATATACATAAAATAAAGTAAATAGTAAGTAAAGTTAAAAATTTAATGAAATTATTGAATGAAAGTTATTTTATTTATTCATGTAAGTTATTTTATTGTTATTATTTGTAAGACAAAATATACAAACATTAAAAAATAAATTATAAAAGTGATTAAAACAATAAAAAAGACCAAAAGTATGATAAAATCTACAGTAAAAGTGCAATAGTTTAAAATAAATAAACAAAAAAGGAAATAAACTAAAAAATATATTAATATTACATATATATAATATATATAGCTTTTAATTGTTTTTTAATATTTATATATTCTGCCTTACAAAGGATAATTAGAATAATAACTTTTTATTTAATTAGTTGTTTATTTTATAGTATATATATATATATTTAACAAACAGCTAACTAAACAAATAAAGTTATTATTATAATTATCCTTTGTAAGGCAGAATATACAAATATAAAAAAAACAACATCAAAACAATTAAAAGCAATAAAAAAGACAATAAAAGCTACAATAACAGTGCAAAAAAATTATAAAAAAGTAAATAAAATTTAAAAATAAACAGTATTTATACAAAACTGTGTATATTTAAAAAAAAATGAACATAACACAAATATAAGTACAGAACATCATGAATGTAAATAATACTAAACCCAACTGAACTGCATCAGCGGCCCGTTCTTCGCACCTCGCTTATTACATCTGAGATGATCTGAAAGATGCTGGATCTTCTAATCCTGATAACTGATCTCTGGCTAATTTGCTTCTTCAAACGAATTTGCGTATTTGATTAAATTATCTGGATGAAGTTGTCTAAGGTTACCGAGTGTTCTCGTGTTCCCCGAAAAGGGCAGATGTATCGATACTCGAGACCGCGATCAGCAGTGCAGCGATTGGCTGCGGCAAGACAGCAACGTAATGACATCTTATAATTAAAAAAGACACCTGACGAAAAAACTTGACACATTTCTGGAAACAGCCAAGCGAACAAAACTACATAAATGTTATTATAATCGATAAATGAAATGTGCACTGTTTTTATTATATTAAAATTCACAATTATTTATATTCACAATTTCTATTTGTACAGGCTTTACATTTTTATTTCAATATTGTAATTATCAATTCATTTAATATAATATATATATAATATCTGTCATCACTCAAATTAATGCACGGCTCAGATTAACTGAACAGCATGTGTGTAAGACTCGTATACAATTATAAAGTTATTATTTTATCATGAATAAATATTTCAATGAGTAAAACTGGCTGTGTCTATAGTATTATAGATTACACAACATTATAATATTATTTTCGAATTAATTTGTAAATTATTATTATTGTAAATTACTGTCCCTGGATCAGTAGGGTACTCTTCTAATAAAGTAGCAGTGGCTGGGACAGATTTTAAGTATCAATTCTGCTTAAAAAGATGCGATCTAATCCTGTTTACATGAAATAAGCTGTTTACGGACCTGTTGCTATGACAGCAACTCCAGGATGAGCTTTTGAAGAACCAACCAATCAGAGATCAAGCGAAATCGTCAACAATCAAATCTAGCTAACTGAGTTAGCGACAGACGAAGAACGGACCACACCTGCTGTGTGTGTGTGTTTCAGAGACTCACGGTATCCTGCAGCGTGTGTGTCAGGCTCTCAGAGGTCGAGAGGTCAGCGGGGGGGTGTGGCCCCTGAACGAACTCACTCACTGATGATGATGATGCTGCGTTGCCATGGGGATAGTCACCAAACTTACTGTGGCCCTGGAAACGGTTGCCTGGGAAACAGAAGTTGCATAAGAACGTGTACATTTGTCCGAAACTGCTCCCTATGGTTGTCAGCCATTCTGTAGTGCTGAACGACTTCATTCCTTCGTTCACTACTTTTTACCCACAATGCATTCTGATTTCGAGTGTACAACTGATGTACACTCACTAAAGCACTATTTCCCACAATCCAATGCGGAGAACTGATGAGCTGGAATAGAGTTTGAATAGAGTTTGAGAGATGCCGCTTACATCTTTCTTATTTCTGCTTTAACGTTTATCTCATGCATTATTAATCAGTTTAATATTTCACTAATTTACGGGGTTTCATCATTGTTAACTTAAAAAAATAATGATAATTTGGTGGATGATTTAAGAATGTTTGTTAATCATCTGTAGGTAGAGTATTCATTCTGATGTAAAATGAGTCACTCTAAGACTATTTTTATCTGATCTGAGCACAAAATACTGCCCGGGAGAGTTTCAAGATACTAAAAATAATAAATACATAAAATTATGAACATGCTTTAATGTGTGTTTATTTTTGTTGACAGTATTTTAATAGTATTTAATAATTATGAACATATAAGCATTACAAAACAAATTAATAATATACCATCGATGAAACCACAAAGCTCACGCGGAGGTATGTATAATTACAATATAAAGTCATTTTGAGTGTTATTGTTATTAATATTATGTTCTAAAATAAAGTACATGTAATATAAAGTAAAAAGTACATATGTCTGCGACAGCGTGTCCAAATTCGTTCACTTCATTTCGTTCACTCCTTTCTGGTATAGTGCACTCAGCTGCCATACACTATATAGTAGAGATGTAACGATTCACTCAACTCACGATTCAATTCCATTCATGATTTTTAATCGTCACATATGTGACCCTGGACCACAAAACTAGTCATAAGGGTCAATTTTTTGAAATTGAGATTTATGCATCATCTGAAACCTGAATAAATAGCTTTCCATTGATGTATGGTTTGTTAGGATAGGACAATATTTGAAAATCTGGAATCTGAGGGTGCAAAAAAATCGAAATATTGAGAAAATCATCTTTAAAGTTGTCCAAATGAAGTTCTTAGCAATGCATATTACTAATCAAAAATTACGTTTTGATATATTTACGGTAGGAAATTTACTAAATATCTTCATGGAACATGATCTTTACTTAATATCCTAATGATTTTTGTCATAAAAGAAAAATCTATAATTTTGACCCATACAATGTATTGTTGGCTATTGCTACAAATATACCTGTGCTGCTTATGACTGCTTTTGTGCTCCAGGGTCACATATTTGAATCGATTTTCAACCGGCTCGCGGTTCATCGTTACATCCCTACTATATAGGGATTAGTGAGCGAGTGAGCGATTTCAGACACAGCTAAAGAGTGCCCATCATGAGTGTTTCTGGGTAATGGGCCGCACCTGGGCTGATGTACTGGATAGTGCTGTTGTTGGGGTATGGAGACGCTCCTGGGCTGAGCTGAGCGATCATGTCCATCACGTTGGGCAGCACCATCTGACTGGGACTCGTGATTTTGAAGCGCTTGGACATCAACCCGTCCGGATCTTGCTTTATGTGCCGCTCAGATTTGATCTGCACCGGCCTCCAGCTGCAGGACGGGTCTATCGTGACCTCCTCAAACTCTGAGCTGCAACGACAGGAAGTACATCTGTGCAAAACACCTAAACCTACGGAGGCCAAGAGAGCTCAACGCGCTGCAACTTCAGAAAACACACGCAAACAGAAAAAGCACCAGCAAATTAAGATTATTTATCTTCATCAGTTTGACAGCACATGTGCTGCAAATACAAAATAAGCAAAAACAGAAACGTGCTGCAAATAATCACAACCTAACACGAAACCATGGTTTTATTATAGTAAAAGTGTAGTAAAATATCATGGTTAACCTATGGTTAGTGTTTTTAACTTACCATGATTTAACTATAGCATTAACTATGCATTAATACTATTAACTAAACTATTTTTATTTAAAAAAATATAAAATTTGTATATATATATATACTGTATATAGGCTATTTATTTTTCCTCTTTATTTATTTTAATAGTAAAAGCATGGTTCATTTTTGTAAAGGAAGTTGTAAAAGGAGCCAGCTTACATAACGTTTCTCAGTTACAGTGACTGTGTATTTCGTCAGCTTACTTAGGCTAAAAAAACAAACCAAATAAAAAAGCTAAGGAATCATATAAAATCTCACCTTTGTGAGTAGACATTGCTAAGCATGTCCCAGTCAGGTGGTCTGTGCGTATTTGCAGCGCGTTTCTATTTTTGCAGCACATTTGTATTTGTCGGTGTTGTGAGTATTTGCAACGTGTTTCTGTTATTGTTTGTGTTGTGAGAATGTGCTGTCAAACTGATGAAGATGTTTTCTTAATTTGCAGGTGCTTTTTCTATTTGCATGTGTTTTTTTCATTTGCTGCGCATTGAGCTTTCTCGGCCACCTTATAAACCAGCTGGTCTGGCTTCCAAAACGTCCAAAGCGAGCACTAAATGTTGACTTACTTCTGAAGAGCGTTCAAGATCCCCCACATGTACTGATCCACCTCCAGACCTTCTAGCAGAGCCGCTTTACTGAAGAAGAGAAACAGAAGATCAGTTCTGCATCACTCAAGCATCTCAGTCGTGATCTGAGGAGTGACTGGAGGATCTTACTTGCACACCGGACATCTCCATGAGCCCCGCTCACAGTTCAGCTCTAGATAGGACTCCAGGTCAAAGCACTGCAATAGAACATTATCACAACATTAACACAACGTTTAGACAACATTACCACACTTATATGTAAATGTAGACTTTTTTTGATGCCAAATATTATTTTTGACCCCCAAATATAATGATCCTGTTCCCTTTTTAATACTTTATTACTTTAAAATAAATACTTTTAATCAGAAAACGTGCATTAAATTGCTCAAAAGTGACAGTAAAGATAGTTATAATGTTTCAAGATTTATATTTCAAATAAATGCTGTTCTTTTGAACTTTCTATTCATCTGTGAATCCTGAAAAATAAAATGTATCACA